TAAAGAAACACATGCAGACTCACACTAGGCACAATTCTTAAAAATGTTCCGAGTGTTGCAAACCATCACACATCACGTCATCTTAAAGGCCCATTATGTAACTTTTTGACAATACAAAAAAGTATATTTTCCAGTCTTTCCTTTCATAGTAAGTTGACTTAACCCTTTAGTATTCCAGAACAATATTCAGCCATACAAATACAACATCCTTGCTCCAAGCAAGCATGGTAGAAGACTGAATGATCTTCTATTCAAACCTCTGGCCACACCGCACATACGGTTGTCCACTGCCAGTGGTGTGGCCTACCTCCCAATGGGATGTCAGTTGACAGCTCAAGTTTTCTAAAGACCTGATCGTTTACCAGATTTTTTAAAATCTCTTTTGAAGGGGTAATGACCACAGTTTATCAATGGCCAAGTGCACTAAGTTCATAATTATATTCCACCTCATCATGTGAAAAATACGAGTGTTTCCAAACAAGCTAATCTTGTGACATGTGCCCCTGCCTATTTAGTCTGGCATGCCCGACTAATTAGCCACCCTAGGGGGCCAACCACTGTAGTTGCTGTTTTTGTTGTTGTCCTGAGGCCAAACCGGTGGCACTGGGAACTGAACAAGGACTGTTTGAATGAACAAAAAATACTGCAACTTGGTGCAAGTAAATTTGGTGTCGTACAACTAATTTTTTGCCTGCTTGCACCATGGTGCAAGTTTGCTTTATCCACTGTTACTACCTGTAGAATTACCCAATAATATTAATTAATAAAGCAGGGTTGGACAAGTTTTCAAAAATCCACTTGCCCTATCGGGCCAGTACACGGTCATTTTCACTTGCCCGAACCAACTTTTTACTTGCCCCAAATATGACAAATTTCTAAGCATTTTACTTGCAGAAAGGAAATTATTTTCTTTTTCAATAAAAAGCACTTTAAGTTTATACTAAATTATAGTGTTGCTTGCTTTATTTACCAAAATAAGGGTACTTAGAGAGACTTTTCTGACAAAAGGGTATATTTTTGACTGGTATCAATATAATATCTTTATTTGAAAATGATGTGTTATTTTGCTCCAAACACTGCATCCAAAAAAAGTAACTTGCCCAATCGGGCAAGTACAGGGGGATATTTACTTGCCCGAACAGTGCTTTTAATTTCCCTGGGCAAGTGGGCAATGGTACTTGTCCAACCCTGATAAAGAACTGGAGTGGAAAGGAACAAAACCAGAATCCATGAAGTTTTTCTTCATTTTTTGTAAGTAACAGAAGGTTACTATCTACGTCGCTGCCAGCGGATGTTTCCCATCACTTCTGTATTTTTGGAGGGTGCAACTATTTTTCTTCCGGTGCAAGTATTTTTCTTTTCATTTGCACCAGTGCAAGTTGGCCCCCAAATCTATTTCGACCCCTGAAATATGTAATACTTAATCAATTAATAACGACACAAATGTGTTGTAAAGGGATAGTATCTGTTGATAACATCAAAATTTAGTATAATTAGAAGATTTCGAATTTGTACGTGAAAAGTTACATGAGGGGCCGGCCTTTAAAGGAAACATGAAACATTGTTTTGCACAGTAACCTATACATCTGAAGCATGAAAGCACAGATAAAAGAAACATTGAGTATTCTGATAAAAGTATGTTGTTACCGCTAACAAAATTTGATAACCCTTCAATAGGAGATATGTTGGTAGTAGCTTCCTGTTGTATTTTTGAATTTAGTTCTGGCGTTGATTACAAAAGAACTTTTTATGCTACAGATGAAGCTTTTCCTTAGCATGGAGTTTTTGTAATACAGCTTTTAATTTTTTTTCTAACGCAGCTTTTCATTTGTTTGTTAGTTCTTTCTTCCCAGGATCAAGACAGTTCTTTCTTAGCAAAATCCGGAAACTGTATGGATCCTGTTAGTTTTTCTTAATCTACTTATCACACCTATCTACTTATCTATATTGTTTTGTTAGATTTGGGCGCAGAGTTCCGAATGATAATGAAAAGAGAAGTATTCGAAAAGAAAAGCCAAGTTAGTTCTAGAATGATATAGTCGTAGTTTGTAATTCTATGATTAACTAGATACCATATTTCAAGACAATTGTTGGAAGAAGCAGAATGTAGTTTTGTAGTCCCATTTTTCTTTTTTTACATGTGTACTTGTTTATAGACACTTTAGTTATGTTTTTTTATATCTAAAGTTGTTCAAGTTACTAGTATGTGTATGTAGGTATTTTATTGTACTGTAAATAAAGCTTAGTGTTTGATTTGCATTTAACATTTGTATTAAAGTAACATAATATTTTTTTGTAACAGAACTAGAAACATAGCTGCCTGAAAAAGACACCTAGAAACATTATTGTATCTTTAGACCACTCTATTTTTTTGTAATTGACATGAAGACCGCCATTCAGAATATGAATAATAAAAAATTCAATTCACTTCAAAAATGCCAATGGAAAGTACTGTATGCTGCACTGTTTCGAAGAAACATTCAATAGCTAGAATTTTTGATTGAGGCTGATCATATGGGGCAAATATTTAGACAAAGACAGGTACTAGATCAGTAATCTCCAAGCAGATCCTATGGCAAAAGACAGTGTTAAATTGCCCAGGCAGTACCCAGTCGCCAGAGAGGGTCCAATACGCAAGTTTGATACATAGGACCTGCTTGAAGATAAATAGATCAGACCGTTTGGCAAGGAGTAATCAGAGTAACGGACCAGAGCTAGAATTGGATGGTAACGTAACTTGGCTAAGTAACGATTTAAAAACTTTCTCACAAAAGCTGGTACTTTGGTATTGTACAGACTCCAGTTTCCGTTTGTCACTCTTGGTGAGTCCCGCCCAGACGATGTTGGCATGCTCAAGGCCAGGTCGTGTAATGGTCGTATATAGCCTGAGTAAGATATCTCTTGGCACATTCTTTCTTAGTGCACACAGAAGGCCAGCAGATAGTCTTGACTTGGTGGAAATTATATCAATATGCTTGGACCAGGACCTATAGTATATACTAGATGTTTGTAACTAGCAACGACTTCTAAGGTAGTTCCACCCAGAGTGACTGGCACATGGGGCCTTGGGATGTTGCGAGTTGTGATGAACATCACCTTGCACTTATCCCTGTTTGTTTCCTGTTTCCACTGTGTGAGCCAGTTTGATACACAGCACAGGTCTCTGTTAAGGGAGGTGACTACACGTGGGATTGATTTGTTACTGGTGGACAGTGAGGTATCGTCAGCGAACAAGTTTGGAGAACACTGTGTACAACAGGATGTTATGTCGTTTATAAACAGGATGAACAGGGTGGGCCCAAGAACGGACCCTTGTGGGACGCCGGCAAGAGGCGATTTCCATTCAGATGTCCCGCCCTGAATAACCACACGTTGTCTCCTTTCAGACAGATAGCTGTGGAACCATTGGAGGATAGGTCCGCGTATTCCGTGGGCACATAGTTTGGCAAGGAGACCCTTGTGCCAGACCTTGTTGAATGCTTTCCTCAGGTTAAGGAATACACATCCTACGACTTCCCCCTGTCCATTACCCTGGTCCATTCATCTACCAGGGTGGCCAGTTGAAGCGTGGTGTTGTCCTTGGTCCTGAATCCGCTCTGGTGCTGGGGCAATATCGGAGTGATTTGTTGAATTAGGTATTTATTTATTAGCGTTTCCAGCACTTCTGGGACTGTGTTGAGCAGAGAAATTGGTCTGTAGTTATTTGCATGGTGGCGGTCTCCGGCCTTGTAGATAGGCGTTACATTAGCCTCTTTCCAAACAGAAGGGACTTGTCAGAGGGTGAGTGATGTGTTGAAGAGCCGTGTCAGGGGTGCAGATATGGTGTCTGCTAACCAGTTGTAGGAGGTATGGAGTGATATCATCCGGGCCGCATGACTTGCCGATCTTTAGGGTTTAGAGTTGCTGCCGTACCTCATCTTCAGTCAATTGGATTGTGCCTAGGGTTGTTTCGGATATAAAATGTCATACTTCTAGATATGTATAACATGCCAAAACGGGCAAAGAGGTCTGTTGCGCCATGGCGGAACGTGGATAACAAATAAATATGACGGAAGGAGACAGGAGAATGATTTGATTGATTATTCTACTTCTACTTTGATGCAGTAATGTATTTCATTTCTTGGTTTGATTTATTAAACTGTGCAAAATATACAGTCAGGATTGCCCAACTAGCCAGATGCTATTTTAAAGGGCTAGCCTTTATAACAAGACAATTATAAACAATAAACGATCGGTTACAATTTAGATACATGTACATTATCATACTGTATTAGGTAAGTGAGTCATTCTAAGTTCGGAGGCGGCTTGTGTTATTAGTCTAACATTAACAAGCTAACTAGGTGCCTGTTCATACCTTTTTCTCATTTTCTAGTATCATTTGGTCATTATTTGCAATCATTACCTAAATTCTAAATTCAACATTATGTGGGCAATTTTTATGTGTTACTCGGGTACCCAGGTCAAAAATGAACATGACGTAATACAATATTGACTACATTGCTTCGCTTTTTCCTTGTAGTTAATATTACTGATCCTACATTTTACGTACATCCCTACAAAGTAGGCGTTCTGAAGTTATGCTGACTACAAATGTGCGGAAACACACACACACACACACACACGCACACACACACACACACACACACACACACACACAGACGCGCCAAAACAATACCTCCATTTTTCATGGAGGTACAAATGAGCCTGCTAATTGATACACAGCATTTTGGAAGAGAATATTGTCTGATGCTAATTTTTCTCCATGTCCTGTTTTAATTTGTAATAGATTCCTTTTTTTACTTTGGGGTGAAAATGTCTATGAACCAATGTAATAAATAGGTGTGGACGTATGATTACAAAAATCTATAAACACCTAAGCAACTCATATACTCGCTTAGATGAGATGAAAGATATAGGTTCAATAAAGGCGTATTGTT